GGTAAACTCTGAGGAATTTCAAAAAGGTATAAAGCAGAAGGGTTGAACTCACGACAAAGCTGAGAGCAGCCTGTGATTCCAGCAGAGCCATCGGAGGAGAAACTCCATGGGTATCCCCAGCAGGAGCCTGGGAAAACCCCTAGCTCTGAGCAGCAGGACTGGAAGCAGAGGCAGTGGGTGGGTACCAGACAGGGCATTTGGAAGAAATTCAGAAATATGGAACTCAGCAGAAAGGGTCTGCTGAGTTAAGGGGTGTGTTTCCTGTCTAGCTTCTAATACTGGCAATAAGACCAAAGGGTGGTGCTTCTGTTAACCCAAGGTTAGTACAGCAAGATAGTACATCCCTGCCATCTCTGCAAAGCAGAGAGATTCTCAAGACACTCTAGCTTTCTCAATACTTCTTATTGGGGTCAGCAGATCTAACTGGGTTCCCCTAAGACCCATCAGTAGAGGGAGAAGAGCAGACTCATTGGGGAGCACCATGGGAAGGAAGTAGAAATTCCACTGGGCCTGAAACACAGAGTGGGGAAGGCTGCAGGTACCATGCTAGGATGGGGGGCTCTACCAATAGGATGGGGGGCTCTATCACTAGGATGGGGGCCTCTACCACTAGGATGGGGGGCTCTACCATTAGGATAGGGGGATGAGGACTCTGCCATTAGGATAGGGGGCTCTATCACTAGAATAAAGGGCTCTACCACTAGGCTGGGAAGCTTTACCACTAGGATATGGGGTTCTACCACTGGAATGAGGGGCTCTACCACTTGGATGAGGGGCTCTTCCACTAGGATGGGGGGGCTCTACCATTAGGATGGGGGACTCTACTACTAGGATGGGTGCTCTACTACCCAAGGACCCCCATAGCCACCTGTGTCACTCTGAGAGTGGGCCTAGTCTTTCAGTCTGTTCTTGAACCCAGAGGGGACCCTGACAATTTACCTGTGTCCACTCACTCATGCACTCAGGTGAAGCCTGACAGCTGCTCAGAGGAAAGCCAGGGGGGAAACCTGGTGAGTCCCCTGGGAATCACCTAGCACACCTGCATTTTTTTTTTTTTTTTGAGACGGAGTCTCAAGCTGTCCCCCTGGGTAGAGCTTACCTCTCCTCCTTTCCTGAAACCAGCAAAATGATCAAATAAGGAATCCCTTACCTATCCATCTTTCCTCCAAC